TTAACTTCGTAGCTATAGCGACCATTGACAAGATAGTGTCTAAAACAGCACTCAAACGAAGTATTCAGACCTTGATATGACCTTAGTATCTTTAACGAGTGAGGCAAATGGCCCAACCACTTTGCTACGTAGACCTATGCAGAAAAGTTACACATGTGACAAACAAGAGGGATAACGGTGTAAATGAACAAACAAACGTTACTATCAAGTATGAGAGGACAAGACACACTGGTATTGTTCTAACTGAATGTGGGGAAATCAAGCGTAACCATTGACTGTTAGAATTTCAGTCAGAAATAGGTTTAGAAAACGATAACGGAAATTAGACTATCAAGTAAAGTGAGGAATAATTAGTTAAGAAACAGAGCGTAAACAACAATCTTGAAAGCAATAGACAGCTCGACGATCACAGATCAATATCTAACACATAATGAGGAGGTATCAAATGTAGAAGTAAACATTAAAATTTCTACGATTAAAGTTTAACCTAATAATAGAACATCACATAAGAATGCAAGAATATAGTATCACCAAGGAATAGTTTCCCTCACGGCTGTCGAATTTCATGTTTCTTCAAGCAGCTGACTGATACATTTTTTTTATTACATTGCATGTATCTTCAGTTTACCATAAGTATCAAGAATGATTTGTTCCCTACATTAAATGTGGTTGTTTCTGCCCTGCCCTAGCTCCTCACATCCTTAGTCTGAGGCTCCACATAGGTCCATGATTCTATCCAATCAGCAGATTTCATTTTGTTGTGTCATTCCTAATCTCGTTATGCTCTTTCCCCTGTCATTCATGCATCTGTCTGCTGAATTTGTTTAGTTATTTAAAAAAACATATCGACTTTAACACGATTAATATTTATTTTTCACTTATACGCATACTAGTGTAGGTCCATTACATCTTAACAACAAACAAAAACAAAACACACACACAAACACACACAAATTAATTTTAAGCGTATTAGGCATGTCTACCGATGTCCACTCGGTGGGTGATGTGGTATGCATCACGCCGACCGCCTTTACTTCCCAGAACTGTACCTAATACCTACCCAAGGTAGGTCGACCTGGGAGCAAGAGTCACTTTTGAAAAAAATCCACTGCTCCGTCAAGATTTGAACCCACGATCTTCGATCCGCAGGCTAGCTTGATATCTTGCCTTATTTATAATCTAACTAAATTTATAAGTCTTACACTATTCATTAAAACTAATTCACTTTATAATCCTTCCTGACTTTCAGACTCCAAAATGAAAATTTTTTAGAGGCCTTTGTTGCTTATATCTAGTCGTTAGCAAAAAGGATATATATATATATTTATATATATTTATATAAACTGAAAATGGTTTTTATTTGACTGAGCAGGTGTACAGTATATAATGAACTCCACCGGCTGCTCTATAAAGGCAATTGACACAAGTGATGCAGATACTGACCAAGATGTAGATAGATTCCAATATAACGGAACACTTGTGGTTGACATGCGAGATCCAAACAGTTTCTTTCTTTCGAATGGAAGCTACGCTTTTACTGGACAGGTACTTAACATGTTTATTAGTTACAGTTACTGTCACATATTCTTATGCTAAATATTGTTATCTGCAGTTTCATGCGCCGTGGAGCTCCAAGCCATATCGTCCTGGCTGTGTTGATTTTACGCTCCATTGCCTCCACTGAGCGCGTGCTCATTTCATAAACTAGCAGCTCCAGATGAGTTTGGAATCAGTCTAACATTGGAGGCACCAGAAAAGAAATGAACCAGACCTGTTTAGTGGTGGCAAAGTCGCACGTGTTGGCTGTAATCGAGCATAATTTTTGTCCTAACTGACTAGCCTGGGCTTGCAGTGGCCTGATTTACATCTCAAATCCACGCCTAAACATACTTGTTTCATATATTCAAGTTATATTGAACTATGAATCACTGCAACTGTGATGTGATAACCTAAGAACAGAAAGTCATTAGGCGGTATAACCTAATCCTAGTCCCTATGTGGGACGAAATTTTTGTTATTTTGAAGCCCCCACCCTGGTTGTTGCTGGTGTCCTGATGGTTAAATGGGGTTTGTTGGACCTCTCCACGGGTGATCCTCATCCGACTGGTGGCACTTTGTGACACCAGATGTTTATCGCTCAGTATGATGTTCTAGTGGCGTAAAAAGTCAGTGAATTAATCAAGCGGTGGTACAAGAGAAACATCAATAGAAGAAGGAGTGAAAGCTTGTTAGGGAGGATTGGGCGACATAATATCGGGGTATCTTCAGTTCTGATGATTGTGTTTACCACCTTAGCCTTACTTGAAATGTATTTCAAAAATTAAAAGAAAATGTACTCTGTAATATTGGCATGGATTAAAAAATTAAACATTTATCGATAAAAAACAGGATACGATAATTCTTGGAGTATGATTAATTATGCAGGTCATACTCTATGTGACGAGAAATGCTAGAGTCTGATTCAACAGTTTTCAACTTGTGCACCGCGGTGCCAGCAACATCGTGGATTATGCTTTTTGTTTCTGTGGTGTTACTGACCTCACAACTAATACTTATCCTCTTGTTTCCCACCCAATTTGGGAAGCTATTTTTATTTATCTGAAGGCCTTACCCCAGCTGTAGTGGGAAGCTCTAATATAACCTAGCGACTGAACTGGTTTTCTGGGACTTATGCTGGAGTGATCCTCATCCCAATGGTAACACTTTGGTGACACCGGTTGTTGGTCGCTCGTGGTACGGTCCTAGTGGGGTTAAATTATTTACAATCGTGTGCCTGCTGTTTTCATTTTATAGTGTGAGTTCATGAACTGTGTTGCCCAGTGTAAAGAGTGTTTATTTTTGCAATGTAGATTTTATCACAGTGTCCATTGTATTAAGAATTTTTTTCTATATTATTCCTTTTCGCATGGACACACACGCACACACACACACACACACACACACACACACACACACACACTCACTCGCTTAAAATTATAACACACTCCAAGTCATAACGAATGTTAGGAAATTGGAACCACTTCATGAGTGTTTTGCTCTCATTGTTCATTGTTCATTTTAGAAATCATCTTCATCGCACATCGGGCATGACCATAAGTACTCCCATCTCATCCCGAGTATGTATCAAAGTCTTTTTAGGCTAACAGCTCCCATTCTGCTTTGCTTGAATTAGCGACGGGTGGCACCCGCATGGTTTTCCTGACTTGTGGCTCTAAATTTTACCCCCAGGGTATGCAGTCTATTTAGTGAAAAATCATTTTCCACGAAACTGAAAGCCTCATAGCGTTTAGTCTGTCGTATGGCATTGGTAATGTCTTACTGCATTGCCAGCCAGAGCTTCTGCTGCTCTCATTGCCTCTTACACCAGTATGACCCAATATAAAAATAAAGGGGATATTGCGAAACGCTGTGTGCTGTATCAGATGGAGCCACTGTTTCCTTATGTAACCCATCCTAATCTTTAGTGAGAAACCTAGATTAGTTTACAGACGAGATCGCAACCTTAAAGACATACTTGTCTGAAGCCGACTCCCACTGATCCATACAGCACTTCCTCTTGGGACTACTCAGTGCTCACGCAGCACCTGCAAAACATGTCCTTTCGTTGTCCAGACTTCTTCGGTCAGTTTCCCTAATGGTTCTTTTCAAATTAGGGAACCTTTTACTTGCGAATCCCGCAACGTAATTTATGCAATTATCTGCAAACGATTCAGCATGGCATACATTGGGGAGACTGGCAGGAAGCTAGCTGATCGTTTCCGGGAACACCTCTCTGATATCGACAAGAAGACACTCAAACCAATCCCTCTTCATTTTAATAGCCCTGACCACAGCGGTAAAGATGACATATCTGTCACAGCATTAAAATCTTGCTCTGGCGATAATACTACCCGCCTCGCTTTGGAAAATCGCCTTATCCACAGCCTTGGCGTTCTTAGTCCAAAAGGTATCAATATCCAACATACCTTCATCTAAATAGTTCTAATCTTATCACATTTTAAATGTTAATTATTTTATTTTATTTCATATTATTACCATATTCTATTTTTTATCAATATCATTTATGTATCATTAACACTTGCATTTCTTTTATTCCCAGTATTGTGACTATATTTTTTAGCCATCGTTATTTTATTTTATTTCATTTATTCCGCATCACATTTTTTAAACGTCGCTCACGTCACCCCTTAAAGATCTACATACTCTCCATTCCTCGTTTGTGTAGTCCACTTGTGTTTGAAAAAGGCTGCCTGGCCGAAACGTTACGTTGTGTTGTTTTGTGCACGTTTTCCTCTTTCCCATTTTGTTGAGCTTTTTAGTCAAATTTCTCTGGAATTCATTGTATTAGCTTGACTGCAGTCACCCCCATAGTTTCACCATAATCTTGTGTAGAATGCTGACTGAGTCGCTAAGCAAGCATCCATTGGTGAACTCCGGAGTTTTCAGCTATTCTAGGGCCTCTGTCCCAGCCATGAGCTCCATTTAGCAGTTATTTATTGACACCAGCATCCCATATAGTTGTTTATAGAGGTTGTATTAAACAAAAAAAAAAAACTTCCTTGAGGGACAGAGATATGGTTAAACAGCGCAATGATTTAAATTCAACGAATATACAATGTGCATCATCCAAACAAAAAAAAAAGACGATCCAAAACCTGTCACAAATATAAGAAAGAAGAAATGCGGAGGCAGGTTGAAAAATGCTGAGTCAGATGGAAAGATAAATAAAAAGTTAGGGGGAGAAATTGAGAGAAAATTCTTGTCAGAGATGTCAGAGCAAGGCAATGATGGGTAATGTGGATAATCATCGTCCACGCTTTTAGTCTACAAAAATAGCGAAAATGCAAAAGTGTCTGTATGTAAAATTATGTGTGTATGTAAGTGGTTGTGTTTTAGTGTGTGTGTGTGTCTGTGTGTCTGTGTGTGTATGTGTGTTTGTCTGGACGTATGTTCTGTTAATAAATCCTAAATGAAATGTTAAACAATTTGTTATTTCACAGAGAACTGTCAGAGGAATAACATGTGATGTTTTCAGTGCTAAAATATCAAATTTTACGCTTGATGGTGCCAAATATGATGCTATTTATGAATATGCTTTCCTTTCAGTGAGTAATACTCGTTTATATGAGCTCATATTTGTATTTATTTTCCTCTCTCCTTTCTCCCTTTCCATTTACCTCTCTCAGTATTTTGTCTCTGTCTCTATGTGTATGTTTTTATCAACTTGATCCCTATAAGCTTCGAATGTTTCGCTAATCATGTAAATTTCCGAGAGTGACGCAAAAGCCAAAGGCAACATCACAGTTGAGATCCTTAACTCTTTCAGTCCTAGATGGTGTTAAAGCAGTTTGAAACAATTATCGCAAAGAGGGGGTGGGGGGGGGGGGGGAGGCCCTATTTTATGGAGTTCTGTGACAAAGCATAAACTTTGCCGCATTTACGATATTTGGCCAGATTAATTTGCATACCCAGACCAAACATAAAATAACAAAAATAAAAACATAATGTGTTGCGTTGACACACACACAAAAATATGTCGAGCCCACATTGTGCTTTGCTTGGGACGGAAAAAGTTGGGACACTCAAATCACACATCGCTACCCTCCCAAAAAGGGGAATTTATAGCAATGTCAGAATTATAAGACCACACGTCTCATCAGTGATCCTATTAAAATCATACTCCATGTACTCATAAGCAATAATAAAAACAAACTCCACAGTGGAGCATGCACAGCAGAGGTCTATCAGTCTTCAGTAGAAAATCCTTCATCGGCAATTATTTCGGCCCGTAACTATTCTAAACAATTTCAAAAGGTGGGCCAACCTGGTTCATGAATCCAGGCCCCAGTTCTGCCCTGCTGCTCTCTATGGAACAACGTACTTTTTTGGACGAGACGAGACGACGGTGTAATCAATAGGTAACTGGTGAGATGATTCGGTTCATTGTTGTAGTGCTTTGTTCGCGCCGCGGCAGATGGTCTACATGTGGGCGAATGGCAAGCGAGATGGTTGGACAAGCACTACCGCCAATATAGTATGCTTGTAACCTAGAGAGAACAGGCTGCGCAGCGGTCGGACATGTACTGTATGGACTTGTTTTTGTGTGTCTGTTAGACTTAGCATTTGGCAGAGAGAGAGAGAGAGAGAGAGAGAGAGAGAGAGAGAGAGAGAGAGAGAGAGAGAGAGAGAGAGAGAGAGAGAGAAAGAGAGAGAGATTGACGGACACTCTGAACATTTGCTTTTAAAAGGATTGCGTTTTTTCTAAGTTCCAAGGGCCCAGACCAGCCTACCGAGGTCCGTCCCCCGTAACGTTTTGCCGTGTCCACAGCCAACTTGAGGCTCTTTCGGCAGCCTCACCCAGTTGTTTTAGTCCCCCCTTACGCTGATTTCCCCGCAAGCCTAGTTGCTTGAGCACATTGTAAGTGAATGTGGAGACAAGGCCTCTTGCGCCTACCTCCACGGCGAAGATTTTTTACTGCGTACGCTTTGTCTCTCCTCAGACCAGCCGCGAGGTCACATTATTTCTTAAGCATTTACACGTGACTCGTTCATTCGCGACACATAAGGCAAGGTCAGCTCGATCAGGATGAGATGACGTTTATCCGTAGAGTGTAGGACTATGTCGGGTCGCAGGCCGGTCTTTGGGATTACCTCTGGGTACCTCTCGTGAACAGGTAAGTTGACCGCCAGTAACCAGTCCCTCGCACAGTCAAGCGCTGTTGAAGCGTATGCGACATTTTCCCGTTTACCTTTGTAAATCTGCCCAGCCTTGAGGAAGCGCGTAGTGGCGACCGTAGAACTGGCCAGGGCATTGGCCCTCATTCTTTCTTGGTACACAACGGCGGCTCACTCTTGCAATACTTTGTTGTGGCGCCAGTGTATCTTCCCTGGCCTAGGGCTTTCTTGCACGACAAAACGGGCTCAAGCGTCTGCTTAGCTCTGCATAGTGGGCATGTCGGATCGGTAGTCGCATGCCATATCAGCAAAGTGGCGCCAGAGGGTAAAACATCAGACGCAGATCTAATTACGAAGCTCAACCGCAGCCAGGGCCATTCGCCAAATCTCTTCCCATGTGAGATCTCGCGGCAAGGCACTTTCGAGGCCGTTCATTGGCCTTGCTGCGATTGTTGGGAGGCTTTTTGAAACCGTCTCGTTTTCGGTGTTCCTGATCTGTTCACTTACCACATCTCTGCGTTCTTTCGCTGGGGCTTTTGACCACCAACTGACTTTCCTATGCCCTCGTCAGACTTTTGAGTGAATCTCATGACTTCTTTTAAATGTTAGTGCATTCTGGGCGGAGTCTCTTGCGTCGAGGACTTTCCATTTCGTAACAACCTGAAGCCACAAGCTTAGCGGAGGAAGGGGCGGGTTTCCATCCTGGAAGAAGCAGGGCTGAAGAGATATTTAATCTACGCATAATATTTTCGCAGCAATACCGCCAGCACCAGAAAAAAAAACTCTACTATGTTTTCATTTTTCTTTTTAAAAAGGTATTTGATAGAGTCTGGCATGCAGCACATTGGGATACTATGATCACGTAGTATAGAAGAAGTTTATGCTAAAGCCAGTAGTGCCATACCGATGAACTTTCAAATAGGAAGCTTGTTCCGAGCAACAGTAGGAGTTAACATGGCTACCTTCTCACTTCAACACTGCTTAACATCTTTTAAGAAAAGAATTGTAACTTTAGCCCTAGTAAAATATCATAGAACAGTTAGTTTTTAAAGGAGGAATTACAAGGTCCGAAAATTAAGCAATGAGACAAAATGCTGTCTATGAATCACAGGATGGAATTCACAGTAACCTTCGTCTATAATCAGGCAACTTTTCATCGCCACCTAATGTGCAGACAAAAAAATAAAAAAGCCGCCATTTTGTTAACCTAGTCAGAGGTGCATTGTTACGTAATCAGCATGGAGGAAAAAAAAATAGAAAGCTAATATTTTATTCTGTTTAAAACTTAGTCGCCATTGCAACAGTTGAACTGATGCAACAAGTTTATGGGGATGATTATCTCGTGCACAGATTTGCAGCTGGTATTCAGCTGGTATACCAGAAAACATATCTGTGATTGCCTAGATTGCCTAGATTGCCTAGATTGCTTAGTTCCTTGCCAAAACGCAAATAGTTCTGGTGACGGCATGATTCTGTAACGCCTCTGCTCTGTAACGCAGCAAGTAGTTGAAACACCATCCCATGCATTCCTCCTTTTGGTGGTCGGTCAGCATCCCTTGTGCCCACTACGATGATATTTTATCTTTCGATATTGCTGTTTTTTGCACCGTACCAATCGATACATCGATTTTATTTTGTATACTTCGGCAACGGTTTATCTGTATTGCTACATCAATTTTGGCCTTGTTTATTTTTTAAATGTTGCAGCGATATGCGATTTATGCAGAACATGCGATTCTGGAAACATTCGTGCAAAGTCTGTCAATTTTCTCTTCGGCACATACATGAAAGCTGCCTGCCTTCTTCGCTGATGCCAGCTGATCGACATCCTTCAGAAGAAAGAATCTGAATCACCGCTATTTGAGCTACATTGGATACACTTGGAATCAACGTAGACATTTTCTCAACGGTCGCAAACGAACATATACATTAGAGGACGAGAAGCAGTAGCATTCATTTTCAGAACTTATCACGTGGCCAGTGCATGATCATCTTCAACGCAGGCAGTTATCCTCGGAGTGGCGTGAACGGGTTTCGGATGAACGCTTCTTGTATGTGTTTGTGTGTGTGTATGTTTGTGTGTATAAACTATCAGCCCTGTTTCACGTTAGTATTTTTTCTATACTACATGGGCTGGATAAAGAGCATCTTTTTTTGGTGTGAATTAATATGTCTGTAAATAACCTTAAACATGGTCTCTAAACTAAAGCTTTTCACTGTTTTAGGACGGCTGGAATGATCTTCCGCTATATGCAACAGAAACAGATGTTCAGCACTACCCTGTACAACTGGTGATATCGATTCCTTCTGTAAGAATATTCAAATACATCGAGTTTATTTAGGAGTCAGTTGTAGAATAATGGTGTCCGGTACCATCATTGCAATGTTGAAGTTGGAACTTAGGCTATTACACTGATGCGATGAACATCAGTCTTATTAGTGCTCTTGACAGAGCTCATTAACATCTCCCCACGACTCTTTGTTGAGGTACAAGGTGGAAGAGAAAAAGAAGAAGAAGAAGAAGAAGAAGAAAAAGTTGATAATTTTTACACCTATCCATTTATGCGCTCTCCATGTGTGAATATATATGTATATAGTTACATATGTGTGTGTGTGTGTGTGTGTGTGTGTGTGTGTGTGTGTGTGTGTGTGTGTGTACAAACCAAGTAAATCAAAAAAAATTTTTAAACACAAATGTATGCGTTACAATTTGGTATAGTTTCTTAAAGTAAATATAATCCATGAAAAATGCTCTTGCCGCTGTGTATCAGAAAATTGTAACATTCGAGAATAGTTCTTGTTATCCTAGCATCAGTCAATAGCTGCAATTTGTTTCAGTGAGTAAAGTCGCAATAGTAAGTTTCAAAATACGACAATAATGTTTAACGCTCGCCGGCTATCCTCCGAATAACGGCCACATATTATGGCGGCCAAAAAACAGGGCCTCAATCACATGTAAACTGCGAACTTCCGGCGACTATACCGCCACCGCCGATTGGGACTTAACTAGATTTATCTTGCATCTGATTCCGTGAATGGGACAGAAGAGAAATATCATCAGCGAAGTCCAGATCCTCAAGCTGTTTTGTAGGGGTCCACTGAATTCCATTCTTGGTGTTAGCAGTTACTGTCTTCATAATCCAGTCTATAGCCAGTAGAAATGGGAGAAGCGACAAAAGACATCACTGTTCACACCTATTTTTATTTCAAATTTATCTGTTAGCTTTTCCTCAGGAAGAACTCGACATTTCATGTCTTTATATGCTGCCTTGACTAAGTTGATAACTTTCTGTGGAATTCCATAGTACCCCTTCAATTTCCAGAGAGATTCCCTATCAGTACTGTCAAATACTTTTTCATAGTCTATGAATTCAATGTAAAGTGGTGTTCAGTTTAATGCTTTGCTGTATTATTATACGTAATGTGGCTATCAGAAATACTGACATCTTGGAAGATCTGAACATCAAGGAAGATTGGCTAATAAACAGCATCCTGTCTCAGAAGCTGAAATATATTGGTAATATCAAGGGTAACGACGGATTGGAAAAAAATAATAGCACAAGGCATGGTACCAGGAAGGAGGGGCAGGGGCCGACCAATACGAAGGTGGGCTATAGGTGACTCCTTGAGTATAAAAGTACATGAGGCGGGAGAGCTGGCGAGAGACCGAGTTTCTTTCAGGCAGACCGTAATGAGAGCGACGTTCTGCAAAGGACTTTCTACATGATGATGATGAATGTAGCTATCTGGTCAATACAGATCTGTTTGGCCGAAAACATGCCTGTTCATCTCTTAGCCTGTTATCAATAGCATCTTTTAATCTTTCCAAAATAATTATACTTAGTATTTTTACAGGAACTGACAGCAACATAATTCTTCTTTAGTTTTCACACTCATGTAGATCACCTTTTGTGTGTGGACAGTTTCACAAGATATCCTTCTCTCCAGTCTGCTGGTATTTCTTTGGTCACCCAGACTTTACTAAAAAAATCGGTGTAGCAATTTCGTTGGTGTGTTTATGTTGGCCCTAATGGCTTTTGCTGGGATACTATTTGGACCTGCCGCCTTTCCTTCTTGAAAAGATTTATAGCTTTTCTAATTGCCTCTTACAGTTGATATCCAGTTCCATTTCGTGTTATTAAGTACCTTTCCTTGCCTATTTTTTTTTTTAATTGATCTAGTTGGCTGACTATGTTTACCTACTAATTTTCTTGTGTTACTGGAAAGTTCTCTGAGGTTTCCTTGTGCTGCTGCTGTCTCCGCTTCTTGTGCTAGGTCATTTAAATATTTCACTTTATCTGCCTTTATATGCCTCCTAACTTCCTTATTGGCTTCCTCTGTATTTATCCTGAGCTGTAGCTTTAGTACAACTTTAGCCACGAAAGTGGCGCAAATAAACAAGACCACAACTATAGCCGGAGACTGTTGTCAGCTTCGGCTAGCTAGCAGCAGTTTGAACGTGGTTGAGTTTTTGAATTTACCTTAAAAAAATTGGAATGACGGCACCCTTCTCTGGACACCAGCCAATCACTATGTCTACACGTTGTTTGAAGCTCTTTAGACCTTTTTGAGCCTTTGTCACAACCCCCTATGTGTGATCCTTGAAAGACAAACTTATGTCAAAGGTGATACCCCGGTACCGCAGTCTGTTGTCTTTTTTTTTTAGTCCCCGCCATTTGTTTTGAGTCTGGCAACATCCGCCCTAACAATCCAGTTGTTTAATGAACACCACAGGATGGCTACCTTTTCTGGGTGGATTACAGCACTAATCTCTGTACACCTTATCTACTGTCGCCTGTTAACTCTTTAGCTATTCGATTCTGATTTCTCCCCTTCCTACCTACGAGAACATCATCTGCAGATGTCAATATTCTGCCAAATCAGGTGTTCCATGTATGCAATATTGCTCATAAAAACATCGAACATCCCAGGTAAAATTGCAGATCCCTGTGGTAGTCCTGGAGCTAAAATACATAGTTCAGAAGTCCATAACCCCAGGCGAAGAGCTACACAGCGAGTGTACAAAACGGCTGCTATCTAGTTCACCAACCAAGTACAGACTCTTCTCCCTAAGCGCTTTCACCAAGATACTGTATCTGACTCTGTTTTAAGCATCTTCTAAATCAAGTGCTGCTGCCACCGTTTCCTGTCTGATCTAGAAAACTTCAAAGGCGTCAAATAAAAAGTGGCTGCATTTGACCATGTGTCTCTCCCTGGTAGGGAACTTCTCTGTTTCAAAAATTCTTGTATCTTACCCGCCACTATCTTCTCCAAAACTTTCCCAAATGTGTTTTGAAAGGTTATGATCCTAAAGCCACTGAGTGTTGAATGATTCTGGCTAGGCTAAGGAAGTGGAAGCAGGTAGCTGTGCATCCACTATTCTGGGACTTTAGCTGTCCTAATGATATGGTTGAAACAAGCAGTCATCTCCACTAGATCAGCATCACTCATGATTTTCATGAGAGAATATCTAACCCCGTAGGGCCCTGGTGCAGTGTCTTTCACCCTTTTCAGAACAAGTCTCACATCTTCCACCAGTATGATGTCTTCATTATGTTTTTACTTTAAGATGGCTGCCAGATCTTCTCTAAATGTATCTCTGTTATCTCCATCCGTCTGTGAAATGAACCTTTTCAGCAAAATTTCCCCCTTCCTCTGTGGTTAGCAGCATCCGTCATCTCTATGAATCGCTCCTACTACGCTGGGCCGATCTTTTTTTTTTTGAGCATCTGCCTCCGTGATCGCCCAGCACAGTTCTTTGGTATCCAGTACTGCTGACTGGTAACAACACCAGGGCAATAGCCGTGTCTGCATAAAAGGGCATAGCAGCCATTCCTGTTGGCCTCCCATCATTTATAAAGACAAAGTTTGAGTCGAACATGGCATCAGCAAGGGCAACTCCCTGTCGATTTTCTCCAGTACTGTCCCATTTATTGTTCCATGCATTGAAATCCCCACAAATAAGGAACCTGTTGCCAGGAATCTCCTCTAGGACTTTCAGCTAGTCCCACTGTTGCCAGAGATTATCTCCAGGTTTTTCAGCCAGTCCCAGTGTTGCTTTGTGACTAATGAACCTTCAGTAGCATCTATATTTATTATGTTCCAGCTTAGGCCACCAATCTCCATCTGTATTCACTGTCCCTCGACAAAATCACGATTCCACCGAATCAGGTCGAGCACCATGTGCTTCAATCCCTCCTTCATTGGCAGACACTGCCTATGTCCAGCAGGGTTTACTTAGCTGACATTTCCAGGGCAATTATATTTGTCTGCATTCAGCTCTTCAAGCATGATTACATTAAAATCGTATATCGACCTCTCTAGTATGGGCCCTCTCTGTCTGGCTCTGCGACAGTTCCAAAAGCATATTCTTACATGGTTGAACCCCAGACCTTCTGCTTTTTGCCTAAATCTCATGGCTCCTGTCCTTCTATTTCTTTACTTTCTTTCCTCACCATTTTCTCGTTTTCTCGTTCTCACCTTCTCTTTGCTGCTCGCTGAAGATGATGCCAAGCGCAGAGCACGTGTCAAGTAGTTCCAGCGACAATTATTATGAAATTAAAAATCCATGTGAAAAAAATGTGTTATGACGCAGGAAGTAGCCGGTGACAGTAGTAGAGCCTGCCTGCCAGGGAAGAGGCAATAAATGTCCCTATGGAGTCCACATGCCTGGCGCCGCCTCTCCCGCTGACCAGACGTCCATGTTCACGATTGACTATCCCACAACCATTCAGTCTCTCGGCACGTAGATCCACTTTAGGCTGGGTTTTTTTCCTTCCCATCAAGGTTGTCTTCCCTAGATCTGTTGTGTTTTGTTCCAGGATTGCAAGGTCTTAGTTAAAGGGGTCACCTTTCGATGGATGTGCCTTTTCGGTCACACACAACGGTCTTGACTGTAGAAAGGTTTGCCAGGTCAGAGTACTTACCACCTGAGTGAGCCTTTTTCTCCTGTAAGGGTAGACCCAGAGACTCCCTGAGGGGAACAACTGGTGTGCCCTACTGCCCAGGAGTCTTAGCCACTACAGCCCTGAGTCTCCATGACTCTCGATCCACTGTGAGTTTGTTGCTAGTATGGTTGAAGCTCAGTCCAGTAGAACATCATGATCTCTGTTGCCACCCACTGTTTTATCTTCTGTGAAACTGATAAAACCTCATTCCCCTTCTCTATGTTTAGCATCTTGCTTTGCATTTTCCATCAGAGCGACATTACGACCTCCTCTGATGTAGACTGAGCAGAGGTGACCAGCTGAACTCACCCCAGGTTCAACCGATACCAATCAATGTCAACGGTCGTGCTGTCTTGTAACAAATTATGTTTGTTGGAAAAGGTTCACATTCTTTTCTGAGTTTGGCAATGCCAGGTGTTTGAACCCGGCAAATCCCCTTTCTGTCTCTTTAGCTCTGAACTGAAGAATAGGAAGTGATTCAATGAACTTGATCAAAACCCGTGATTTTGGGACAATTGAGTCGTGGAATGTAGCAGGAAGAGACACCCAGCCGTGGTAACAAAACCGTTAGGACAGTGTCCTTCAAATGACACCCAAGTGCCCAGCATCGCTGACTGTCTACTTAAATTTTAACTTCTCAGTGTCAGAATCATCTTTAAGTTGTTGACTGATACTGCTATCTCTTTTGATTTGTGTAGTGCTGTCTTCTATCTCATAATAATACTGTGTCAGGTTTATGAAACTTTGGACGCATTGGATGCTGGTGTCCACTCCTCACCTGGATAGATATCTGTAAGGCTGTAGACCTGCAAGATGTCATCCTCTATCCTACCCAGCCATATTTTACCCCTTTACGTCTATGCCCTCTCAGTATTATTAAACTATAAACATGCCAGCACAGAACAGAGGGAATTAAATGGTATAATGGAACCACGAATGTTTAGTTCTAGGTAAAACTAAACAAATTTCGATGGACCAAGAGGTTAAGAAAAAAAAAACCGATGGCTTTGGATAGGACACACGTTGAGAAAACCTGAGAAAAATACCAATAGAATGTCTTTGCAATAGAACCCACAGGGGCATATAAATAAAGCAAGAGGAGAAAACACCTAGTGTAAGGAGCTAGACAGTGAAAATAACAAGATGGAGATAAGTTAGGGTGAACTGCATGCAATAGCGTAGGATAGAACGACTTGGTGTAAATTGGTTCAGGGCTTATGCTCCATTGGGGGCTAGAAGGTGGAAGTAGAAGATTAACTGTTTCTATGTGATCTTTAGTGTCTCTATCTGGGAAGAGAAATAGGGGGAAAAGACATGTGACTTCTACGTTTATGAACATATTTCTAAATACTATGGTATTAAATGGCCTTGCAACGCTACGAATATCGAAAGGTAACAGTACTAATAAAAAGAACTCCACAGCAGGAGCATGCACAGCATAAGTATACTGATCATCGGTAAGTGGGTCCCTCGTCGACAATTGTTTCGGCCCATTATACTCCTGACGATTTCAAAAAGTGGGCAGACCAGGTTCTTGTTCCAGGCCTCTGACATCTCCTGCTGCGCTTATTGTACACGATGAAATGTTGGCCTAGCAACATGTTTGGTTTTATATTTCGTCGGTGCGGCAGCAAATAACCAACTTCCTCCACGACCAGAGCGACAAGTGGACGGTTGGTTCATCTGACAGACGTTAAATTTTGGCAATTTGCAGAGAGAAACTGGCAGGCCTAATCAGACAGTTTAGCTTTTAAAGATTGTAAAGTTGTTTTTTCACTAGGGGCTCTTACCAGTCTACCGAAGCCCATCCCCCACGACGTTCCGCTGTGTCCACAACCAGCTCGAAGCTGTTTTCACCACTTAGCTTACTTGTTTTAGCGCCCCTTTGTGATGTTTGCCTTGTAAGCCCAGCTGCTTTAGTACATTGTATGTGGAGATGGAGATCAGCCCTTTTGCGCCTACATCGACAGCGAAGAGTTTACTGTGTACCCTTCGTCACTCATGAAACGGGTCACCAATTTACTGTGCTTTTCGAGCTTGTACAGGTGATTTTCTTCTATCCGCTACTAGCAGCTAAGTTCTATCAGGATAAGGCGGCGCTCTGCCACAGAGTGCAGAACTATGTCTAGTCGCAGGACAATCTTTCGAATTGCTTCAGATGGTTAACTCGGACCTTAACACAGTCCTGGCTAGATACTTTCTCTAAATTTGTACTATTTTAAGTATTTGTTGTCACATTTTGAAATAAATATGCCACAGCAAATTTTTCTATTTTCTGTATACATGTACGCGTTTGTGCACGCACCTCTACATTGTCATGTATGTGTCAAATATGATTTCACGCGTGTATATTTGTATGAACTGTAATGCTATAGAAAGATTCTCAGAACATTTTGGACGAAGAAGAGGACAAATACTGACATCTTGAAAGATCTGAACATCAAGGAAGATTGGCTAATAAAAAGCCTGCTGTCGATGGGGGCTGACCGACATAAAGATGGGCACAGGATATAAGTGACTCCTTGAGTATGAAAGTACATGAGGTGGGAGAACTGGCGAGAGACCGAGTTTCTTTCAGGCAGACTGTGATGAGAGCGACGTTCTGCAAAGGATCTGCTTCATGATGATGATGATATATATATATGTAAGCGTATGGCTCTGTATGTTCGCGCACATGTGTGTGTGTGTGTGTGTGTGTGTGTGTGTGTGTGTTTATTGTAGGATCATTAGCTTCGCTTTTAGCTCTTTTCATTTAATATGTTTGCTTAAGAGCATTACTTGGATGTTCTTACTTAATATTAAACGTTTTTCTAATGATTTGCAAACAGGTCAATTACAGCAGGGTGTACAATTATTTTGAATTCGCTGAGGATATCGACATTTATCCGACCTTTGACATTTCAAATTGTTTTGATGAAAAGCAAAAGCTCGGATTTCAAATAACATTTCCAGGTTAGTTCTGGCAACCATATTGTTCTAGTCTGTATCTGGCATTGTGCGAACTCGTAATATCCAAAGTGTGTCCGTAACTCTTGTTAGACTGTTCTGATCATCGCAATTAATTTTTTCTCATGTTCACTAGTGTAAAAATCTTGTAAAAGTTATTTTACACTCTATTCTATAATATTCGTTACTTATATTATTTTCGAAGATTATCTTCAGCAATTCCAGCTGTAACTGCACATATAATTCTGTTTGTCTGTAACCACAGGTGCCTATAATTTGGGATTGCAAGATCAGTGGACAGCAACAATCTACAGCACCTTGGTCCAGACCATGAATGTGTTTCCAATACGTGTTGGGGGAATTACTATCAGTAATGATGATGACAATGTGTATGTCAATGCATATGTGCTAACATCCTCCGCTTTAGGTAATACATTGTTTTCTAATTCGTGTAAAGTACTTCTCTATTTTTTTAAATTCACATGTTGGTTAAATATAATATAAAACATAGTGTAGATGTTTTGATTATATATCACTTCCTCGTGTTTAATATTTGTTTTTTTTTTCTAAGCCTCACCTCCTCTTTGAGAAATAATTATTTGAGTATCTTTTACCGTAGAACGAACCTAGTATTTTTTTTCCAGTTGTGGCTTTCTAGGCAAATTTTACTTTAAGTAGTTTGCCATCAATCTCTTAACGGTCAGTTTTCAGTACCTCTGTGCAAACCAACTCAATGCAAATCGTCCTCAGCTGGTATCGAACCCAGCACCCCGGCATTACGAAGCGTGTTCGCAACGCCTTAGCCAGAGAGGCCTTCTAACAATTAAGGGGTCACTACGCCAACATTTTTATTTCTTTTATTCACAGAGTTAGAGAAATTATTTTAAAATGCTTATTTGAGGGGATACATGTTATCACATTTGCATACTTTAAGTGCAAAAAAAATCATGGTTGTCATGACAATAGCCGCCATCTTGTGGGAAAAAACAACACGTACTTAGAATCCTAAAATTTCAAAAACAAACAGACGTATTAAAACATAAGTGATGGATTCAAATTTTTTAAAATCATATTTAGAGGCACAGGTTTAGTTTATTTACTTTAAACATGTTTTTAAATATTTTTCGTAGAATTTTAAGATGTAGGTTTATTGAAAAAGTAAAAAAAAAAAAATCTTGAATCATAAGACAATAATCAAGTTTAAGAAAAGAAAAACTCTCTAAAATCTATTTTTGAAAAAACCAGTCCCTATAATATTGTTTGAGGAGTATCCATACCAAATGTCATAATTCTAGTCTTTATTTTAGATGAGATTTTAGGATTTCGCACACACAACAAACATAAATTTAGAGATGTGAGGAAACTGACATTTAAACATTTTTTTTATCCTGAAAAAGTGCTTGGGTTGGTGCTTTTAGTATTACCTTTTCAAAGCTAAATTGTTCAAAAAATGACATAAATTTTCTGTGTTATCTATTCTACAAATGCCAAACTTTACAAAAACTAACACATTGAAACAGTGATATTTTTGTCATAAATTTGAAAAAATTCCGTTTAGTGACCCCAGTGACGAAAGCTAGAGGTGTTTCCTCAAATGTAGGAGTGGACCTTACTGTGAGGTGGGTGAACAAGAGTCTGAATGCAAATGAGGAGACTGCCCCGTAACATTTATATCAACAGCGACAGCGTACCTTATGGAATGCATACATCAACCTGATCTTTCCATGTTCGTGCAGAGTTCTGAGAATCTCGTGGAAAAAATATTAAACTAATGGAAGATTAGAACTAGTTAACTTCATATAATCGCAATTACAAACGACAAGTGTACTTTGCGGTGAGTCAACCTTAATCAGGCAATGTTATAATTTAGTAGAGCATTAAGACAGCATCAGTACCGCATGACTGGGTGCACAGCTATTTAATTCCTCTACCAAAAACTTTTGAGGAAAGGACACATTGGCTAATTTAGCCACTTTTGCATTTGGCGTCTATGAAGGGTTCCAGAACAGAGAGCAAACTATGGCGGTAGCACTAGATCTCGAGGATGCTTATAACAGAGTAAGATATGGCATCTTGATGATTGCACTGAAGGAGAAGGAGGTCAGTCAGCTGGTGAATTGGGTTGCAGCTGTCCAGTATTCACGTCGGGTTGTTTTCCGACTGGGTTAACGGACCTCAGAACCAAAGAGCTTGGCGCCAGGACTGCCACAGGGTTCTGCCATCTCGCCTGTGCTCTTTAACGTGTTTACGAGCAAGATTACAAGCCCAGATGCTCCAGGAATTGAAATAATACTGACTTCTGCGGATGATAAACTTGCATATAGGCAGATGGACACACCAGAGCGCATACAGAACGCGGCTATGCGGGTCATTCTGGGCTGCACCAGAGACACCCCAGTGGTGTATTTGCAATACATCCTTGGTTTGCCGACTGTTTCAGGTAGGCACAAGGTGCTGCAGGCAAAGTCATATCTCAGGGTAGCTGCAGACGCAGAACACCCTTTGCACGAAGCTCTGGATGCAGTTAAGGGTCAGCGGCTGTGTCACATATCGCTCCTGTCACGTGCCCGATTTCTCCTTAAGAACCAACAGCACTCTAAAATAATTATGTTGAGTCGTTGGCTCGTATTGGTCTAAGGGATGCCCCGTAGCCAATATACGCTCAACTTATTTCAGGAGTAGGGCAACTCAAGCTTTGGTACTACAAAATATATAATATTCCTAGGCACACTTGGCTGGACACCCGCATTACTATAAAAAGATAGCTCCCAGGTTATGATAGTATACTATCATAGCCATGTTAACACAAATAACACTTATTACTCACACAAACATCAAAGCTAGACAGTTAGAATGGCGAAATAGGGTCACCCAAGTCAGCCATGAAAATTTGTGCATGTAATCAGTACAATATATACATATAATAATGAATTGATAAACAAGAGTTCATTGAATGGAGCTCAGGAAACAATGCAACAACCCAGATGTTGAAGCATCCAGATACAGTTCTTTGAGAGTACATGAGTTTATCATCGGACTTATAAGGTGCTGTGGGAAGAGAGCATGTAGTGTGAAAAATAGATCACTTAGCCCAGTTCGTAGGTCAATGCTCCCCTCAGTCCATGGTGATTCGACTGTAGTTGACTCAATCAGTAGTTGGACCTTGATTTGATCTGGTACAAGCTGACTGTCACGAGCGAGGACACAGGAACTGCCTAGGAGCCCAACAAAGCTCTTGGAGACTGTGATGCCCACTGCCGGTCTCACATGTGATGACACAATAAATGCATAAGAGCCCAAAAAAGCTCTTGAAGACTGGTTCTCTGGATTGATGACATAGGTTTCTGCAATTGTCAACTGGTCCTGGAACTCACAAACAATCTCTTGCCATGTTCAGGTAGTGGCACAGTATACAGGACTTTTGGATACGCTTGGTGCACAGAATGGTGTAGGTTGGTGGTTGTTGGCTGGACTGTGATTCGTCTGCCTGATCTCTAAGGAGGTATCATCCTGTCAGGAAAGAACTCAGAATTAGTAATCAACCTTATTCACACACCAGCTCATCCCACCTCTGTCACCTTTCTCCAATCCTCAGAGTGTAACTCTCAAGAACAGGAGACAACGACTCCTTTCATTTATAAAATAGTGCAACAGATAAAAAACGAGGTATATAGTGGAGATAGATAGACACTACCACACATAGATCATCCTCTCTTCACCCTCACCTCTGCACTCGCAGACATACAATGTTTACAGTTATTACCCATATATATTCCGTCTCCACAGGCCGTTCACTACACACCCACTGAATCTGTGTCAAACACACCTTTGACTTAGAGCGCCTAACCCTGACGTCACAGTTAAAGATGACCTATATTCCCTATTTCTGTATGCGGCACAAATCTTTGTTTGACTGGTCAGAGAATAATTACTTGTAGGGTTTAATATCTTTACAAATAGTGTGGGTTATGTAAAGCACCAACTAATTAGTCTGTACAGGGAAAGGTCTAATATTCGAAGCCTAATCTCTGGACATCAAAAACGGTCGAACTCTGTGCGATCACACAGCTGACTCTGTCCTCTCTGCAGCAGTGGCCAACTTTAAAAAGCCATCAATTATGGTACTCGTAAACTATAATCAACCTACCCAAGCTTTGGAAATCTTCCAAGATAGAAATGGAACTTTGAATGCGCCAATTTCTACATAGACTGTATACACGTCTTGACACTTTAAGATCAGGCGAAAGAATGTTTTTTTTCAAAATCAAACTTAGCGTCACTAAAAAAGAAGTCCCCTGTGTTCCTGACCAAGGAGTAAACCGGTTTCCAGAAATTTGTAAATAATTTACCAGAAATCGTCAACCTACAGTTGCAAGTTTGAAAATGAAGATTTATCAAAGCAACTAGAGGGTCTAGAAATGAGTATTTTACCAGATAAAGGTATATATCAATATAAGGGACTATATACCCTTCCGGACGGGTTTAAGTTTGAAATTTGACTGAGCGCGAGGGAAGTCAGAGTCACGACTCGTCCATTGTGTAGGGTTGGCTGCTCACCTCACGACAGGCTGATAAGAGGAAAAGTCACGGATATCTCAGGCAGAAGACACAATCAGATTGGTTTGCATACTTGAGAACATTAGGCGAGGAGAGGAGTGGATCAAAGTGCCACCTGAACAGTCAGACTTGTGACGGGTCATAATCACACTGACCCGGGAATGCAGAGACTGGTCAGTAGGTGAAACGGAGATGGAAATTCAGCAATTAATTCAAGATAATACTCGCTCAGAGGATTTGATCATTTATACAGACGGTTCAGTGTCAAGAGGCAAAAGAAGTTCTTAGCAAAAGTCAATGGTCGAGGTTTGGAGAAAGAGAGCGTAGTATGATACCACAATATCCAGCTCAAGAATGGAGGTAGAGGCGGTCACTGCAGCTTTCCGCTGGTTAGAGAACACGACACACACATCGTGATTGTAACAGACACAGAAAGCATGCTGAAGAAGATCAGGACAGACATGTCTCGTGCAGAGTGACATGCTTCGCTGCGGAGGACACGGGTGAGGAGTCTTGTATGGATTTTTTCACTGTTTTGGGAAATGAACAGGCGGACAAACTGACTGGCTCGGCACAACTTGGTGGAATACTGATACATGATAAGGCAGACGTTGTTAGTGCCTTGTGGGAGAGCGTGTATATTTCGGAGGAGCAGATAAATCACTGCAGTCTGGTGAGATTGATGCAAAAACGGGTGGGGGTGGGGAAGGGAGGGGGGCGTTAAATAAAGATTATGGCAGATGCTCGAGAATTAGAGGAAAGTCATGACAGACGTTTAATCAGAATGCTACTGGCACCATTGGTACCGGAACTTTTCGCTGGCTGCTAAAGATGGGGATGGAGTGCTGTTATGTCGTTTCTTGAATCAAATCAAATCAGAAAATGTTATAATTATGAACATAATTACACAAAATCACTTAACTGGAGCATCATAGAGACAAATCGATAGGTCTCTCAGGCCAGCTAAGTTCTGACAAGTCTTATTTACACGAGTACCGGCAATATATTAAAAAAAAATCTTTGCATTCGTTTTCGTATGCTCAGATCAGACCATCAGGTTGGTTGCCTCTATTAACTTGCATGTTAGCATCAGGTCCTTCATGGTACCCCATAGCCTGCTCTGCACACTTTGTTCATGGGGCCAGGTTTCTTTTCGAAGTTGTAGGTAGAGTGATCACGTCTGTAGAATGTGCTCAGGTGTTTGCGGTCCTGTCTGACAGGCACACTGTGGCCATTGAACAACCTTTATTTTATGCATGTGGTAGTTGAGCTTGCAGCGTCCTGTTCGTAGACGGGAAATTGTTGTATGTTGCTTTTTTTGGGACATGCAAACGATGCCGCAAGGCATACTTTGGGGAAACTGGCAGGAAGCTAGCTGATCGTTTCCGGGAACACCTCTCCGATGTTGACAAGAAGACACTTAAACCAATCCCTCTCCATTTTAACAGCTCTGACCACAGAGGTAAAGATGATATATCTGTCACAGCATTACAATCTTGATCTAGTGATCATACTACGCGCCTCGCTTTAAAAAATCGCCTCATCCACAGCCTAGGCGTTCTTAGTCCAGGTGGTATCAATATCCAACATACCTTTATCTAAACAGTTTTACTCTTATCATATTTTAAATGGTAATTCTTTTCTTTTATTTCATATTATTACTTCATTCTATATTTTATCAGTATCATTTATGTATCATTAACATGTGTATTTCTTTTATTCCCACTATTAAATTATATATTAACAATATAACTTTGTATTTTTTGCCACTATATTTTTTTTTTTAGCCATCGTTTATTTTTTTTCCACATCACATTTTTTAAAACGTTGCTCACGTCATTCCTTAGAGATCTGTATACTCTCCTGTCCTCGTTGTTACCTTTGTGTATTTCACTTCATGTTTCACAAAGGCTGTCCAGCCTAAACGTTACGTTATTTGTGTTGTTTTGTGCACATTTTTCTACTTCCCTATTTGGTTAAGCTTTTTAGTCAAATTTACCCAGAATTCCAGATGGGGTCTTGTGGATGTTCACTGTTCGTTCTCTCCACAATTCTTTGTATTTTTCCTTTATAAGTGTTCTGATTTCTGGTAATGACAATGAATGGGTGTGTTGTTTCTTCTTTGTTAAATTTTTTACAAGTCTGTCTGCTAAATTCCTGTTCTGTCGCAGTGAGCCGGGATCCACAAGAGAACGATTTGACTGTTTTTTGCTTGTCTGCTTAGCTGGCGGGTCAATTCTCTCTCTATGTTGACTCGCGGATCCATCTGAGACGCCTGGAGGACTGACATGCAGTCACAAAGGAAAACGATTTTGCTGTTGTTTTTTATTTTAAATTTTTGTTTCTCAAGCACTCCGGCTGAATCAATAATTGCTTGCTGCACAGCTGTGAAGTGTGTTGATAGTCTTCTAGCTATTGGCTAGCAGGTTTGCTGCTTGTTTACTAATGCAAGTTTTTCCACTATCTTCAATGACAGTGTTGGCATGGCTGGTATGATTCTCCTCATTTTAGACTATTTACTTTGCTTTGCCATTGCTTTTTACTGTTTATTGTGTTCTGTTACGTTGAGGTCATAGGGATCTTGTTAAATTTATACTCTTGCTTCAGTGCTTCTTTTTTGCAGTTCTTGGGTCCAGAAGGGTTCATAGTTTCTCCTTCGACCTCGGGGAGATTCTTCTTCTTTGCGTTCACCAGCTGTACACTCTGGCGAAAAGTTCTGGTTGCTCGTCCTGCTCTAGCACCTGAGTTTTGCATGTGCATCAGTTTTACAGATCTAACTCACTTGAATGCAGACTGTGGTTCCTTGCCTCCGACCTCCGACCTCAAAGGAAGCCCCGCAGTTAGTCAACTCTTACGACATGCTTTTGGGGAGGCATTGAGTCTATTCTTGTCTTCCCCACAATGGGGCCCTGGAACACACATGGGGGCGACCTTGGGGAGATTGATTTTTATGCTACTTTGAGTATGATACTGATAAGATTTGTGGGGAAAAAGCTATGATCCACAAGGACCGTAATAAAAAAAATATTGAAAAGCCTTGTTGGACGTTAGGAGCCTTCACTGAGTTGAAAGCCATCATTTACAATTAGATTATGATTGTGTAATCTGCGGTAATGAGTGTAATAAGCATGCAGATACGTGTAGTAAGCTAACATTTTATGAAAACCATAGACAAATTTAAGTAAAATGGATAAATCACGAGTCCTACACATTATGTCATCTAAACAAATAGATTTTGTTCAAAATGATGTTAATTGTTTGCATTCTATTTGCAGCTCAGTTTGAAAAGCTACCACAGTTTACTCTGGAGCATGAAAATGATAAACTGATGAAAGGAATCACCACTGCAGATGAATGTGCTGCATTATGTATAGATAACAGCGACTTTGAGTGTGAAGGGTTTCAGTACTGCCAGTATGATGGATTTGCGTGCTCGTAAGTTGATTTTATGCGAGCAATTTGTGACTTCTTACAGAAATTGTAATTACAAAAAGCTTAAACTTGTATTTATACTTGAAAAGTGGTTGTCAGTAATGCATTGGACTCTATGGTCACTTCCTTAAGATGGGTTTGTGTGTGCATGTGACTTCATATATTCAAGACAATTCTACTTCTATTACATGATGAAATCACTCGGTGCCGTCACATCTGCAATGTGCCAGAGTGGCAGGAATGCAGCTGTATGTTTCCTTCTACCTATAGCTGGCAGTTTTAAACAAGTGTGGCGGTTGATGTGATGGTTAATATGACGGTTGAAGCGACGGTTGGTGTGATGCTTGATGTGATGCTTGATGTGATGCTTGATGTGATTGTTGATGTGACGGTTGATGTGATGGTTGATGTGATGGTTAATGTGACGGTTGATGTGACGGTTGATGTAAGGGTTGATGTGACGGTTAATATGACGGTTGATGCGACGGTTGATGTGATGCTTGATGTGATTGTTGATGTGACGGTTGATGTGATGGTTGATGTGATGGTTAATGTGACGGTTGATGTAATGGTTGATGTGATGGTTGATGTGACGGTTGATGTGATGGTTGATGTGACGTTTGATGTGTAGAAGCAGAATACAAACTAATTAGAAATAATGTATTTTTTTTTTTACTCACAGGCTCAGCAAAGATCACCTGACCACCCACAAGGTCACATTCAATGCCACCGCATGTGACGAGTACACAAGTATGTATCATCAGACACTTCTCCAAATGTGTTAGGCTATTATTTTGTATTGTGAAAAATGGTGAGAGACGGATGACCGTGTAAAATGTTTTATGACAGCATTGCACAGACCATCCTCTCTTTATATTTGTGTAGTGATGGATTACCCCGAATAGTTCTGACAGTGGTTCACTGTTAATTACGTGTGCTCTATGAACACATTACACAAAACGAGATATCCGAAACCATCATGTCTAGCCGATGACACACTATTGAAAAAAAAGACCTTTTTATGTTTGTAGGTTTTATCAAACCCCCCTCCCCCCCCCCTTACCCCCATCCCCCCAACCCCTATTGTTATTCTATAGTGTGTCAGTTTCAAGATCTCCTATGCAGTCTCTGTGTCTTAGAAGTTAGTAAATGAGTTTAACTGTTTCATGATCTTTATTTGCTACAGTTCGATTTCCACGGTAGACGATTCATTCAAAGAAAATAAAAATTCGGTCTTCGTAGTTTGTTTGACGATGGTACAAGAGTTGCACCGTGAAAGAGATGAAGAAATCTCCACATGATATTCCCGATGCAGCAGTTGGTGCAGTGCAACCGAGCTTTATTGGGGACACGGCACAGCATTCTTTTCTACTAATTTTTTTTTTCGAGTATATCCTTTCTCCATATGTAGAGTCCTTTTTACATGTATAGATTAATAGTTGCACAGAGACCATGTTCATTCATTAACCAATAGTTTTAAATGCATGTGTGGCGTCTGTCCCCTCCAGGCGGCTGGTTAAAGGTTTGACACTGAGATCATACGATCCTAATACGGACCACAGATAAACTGGGTAAATCTCAGATACTACTTTCAATCTCAAAAGAAATTATAATTAGGGCGGCTGTAACAGTTACAGCACGCTGCTGTAACTGCGGTTTTGTGCGGGTAAGGACTTACTAACGATCTCAGTGTTGACAAAACTGAGGAATGGTTTTTACATGTGACCATTTGATTGGAGGCATTTCTGTCAGTTGTTTTGAATTTTTCATGAAGATACTACAATACATCAACATCAGAAGGTTATTGAAAAAGACACTGATATGTAGGTAGGTACCCTTGTTTTGTTAGCAGTTGACTTTGGATAGCAGTGATATTGTATAAATACTTACTTAGATGTAAAATGTTTGTGAGGATAAGAAATATCTAATTCAGTGTATCTGGAATGAATTCTTTTCTGGCATATTGTTTACTTTTCCTTGACCCTGGATTTCTGTGAGTGATTTCACATCTCCATCCATTTAATATGTCTAGAAAGGGAAAGGTGGGGTGTTCTATAAACAAAGGGATGTTTTTATGTGCCTGCTTAATAGTGTCATGGCATATCTTTGATTGCTACTAGCTTTGCTTTTATATCTAATAAATGTATATTATTAACCTTTAACATGTTAACTTTTAGCATGTTAAGGAGGAAAAAAAACGCACTTGAAAATGTAGTTACAACTATTATTATTACAATTTTTTTTTTTTTCTGATTGGATTTCGTCTCACGGCAATCAAGTGAATAGAAAAGAATCAGATATATGGTAGTGGTGATAATACTCCAGGTATAGGAAGGATGAGATTCAACATTAAACTTTTTGAAAAGATCCTACAGAACGCCGTTTTGTTGTATCTTGCAATTCTTAAACCGGACGAATAAAAAGGTACTTTTTTTCACCAAACAATGTAGCCTGCTGGTCATCTCACCTAACATAACAATAAATTCCTCTCCCGTATAGACTTATCAGACGGAACTACATGACAAGAGAAGTTCTCTAAATGATGCATAAAAGAAGGTAGAAAATGTAAAGAAATACATATATATGAAATACGTCAAAATACCAAGCACACGCCAAGAAGTTAAATATATTTCTCTGAATTACATATGCATGAAGATAAGTCATTATCAATCAGGTGACGTCTCCGCAATAAAGTTGGGCTGCAATGGATCTCTAACACGCTCGGTCTCTTATCTTTGTTGTACACGTTCTCAAACAGCTGTTCGTCCATATTTTGATATTTCCCCCCACTCTTAACATTGTCTATCTCTTGCTCTCTTGCCACCTACCTCTCCGTCCAGAACCTCTGCGTTTGATTGTTTTTGTTTCCAGGAAATATAACTTATTCTTCTGTGTATCCACATTTACAAAGAGCAAATTTGATTTTCTAGTTCATTGTTCAAGTTACCACAGTCATAAAGCATGGTTAAAAATGCATAACATTCGACGATCTCAGTCACAACAGATGCTGTTCCCAAAGCCAGCGGCACATCTCCTTAGTCCCCAGCGACTAACCGATGCCATTATCTATCTGACGATTATAATTTTTAATATGTTGTTTTTTGCCTAGCTGCAGTTATTTTCGCATCTTATTGAACTAGGTTTAGCTATTCCTATTTTTTCAGTTCAAATTCTGCATTCATCTATTACTACGAGTTCAAAATATAATAAACGTTTTACTTATTCTAATACTTCTTAATTATCTGTGATTTTTACATGGGGATGAGTACAAAGCATGATGCTATAAACTCACAATTTATTTATTAACAATATATATTTTTTCCAAAACAACATATCCTTAGAGTATTTTTTCCTGTGTAATAATTACTTTTTGTAATTCTCCTATCTATCTAACAGGGACTATAAAAGTTGCTACAAAGAAAGAACCTCTTGTTAGTGAAGCGTACACATTATTATTAAATGCTGTTCAGCAAGGAACTCTGCAGATAAAAATAACAGACAATCAAGGGAACGTGAGTCTTGCTGTTTGTGATACCAAACATTTCATCTTGTCTACACATATGTACTGACAGGCTATATTGTAATACAACCTCTTGGAAATTGTTGAGAAGATAACTGTTTGTTTTGTTATGTTGCACAATGTAATTTTTAAACATGACTTAGAAACAAAACTAAAAAGGCACATTTATTTTATGGATGCTAGTTGACGTAGTCTGCATTCCCCACTCGCTCCCCCCCCCCCCCCCCCCCACTCCCAGCATCAACAATAGAATTGTGGAGTGTTTATACTGAGATTGCTGTAGAACTTGCCTATTGTTAGTTATTATGCTAATTACGACGTTGCGCTTTCACAGTCTACGTCACTGCATATTGAGCATTACTATGCTTGCTCAGTCCTCGGATTCAGAAACCACTCCAAGGTACTTCACTAACTGTTCCTATTAGAGGTTGGTTATAGTGTCTTTTATCTCGACCTCGAAGACGGCATAGACGTGCTTTACCATACTTCACTCCCATGTCACGAAGCTTTGTTGGTGTCAGAGATTCGCCATTATCCACTAGCCTAGTCTATACAACGTTGGTGATACAGTCCAGTCTGAACAGAACTGTCCATGCTTCTTGCCACAGTCGTTGATGCATTGCTTGCCAGTTGGTCCGCTCGCTCATCATCTTTTACGCCGGCATGACTGGGTGCGTAAATCCAGGTTAGGGAGGATAAGTGCGATTTTCGAATGCTTTTTACTCATTCAGAGCGCATACCGCTTGATGCTGTCTTCTGAAGCATGCTCGTTGAGTCAGATGCAAATACTGCATACGTGACTGTTTGCTCTGCTGCCCATGACGATGTGTCTTCGTCAGTGGATCCCTGAATACCTCAGGTTTTCTTTCTCCAACGAGATAATACACTCCAGTGTCCTCATACAGGTCTATAGCTACATTATTTCACTTAGCGCTCTATTTCTTAGCCCACCTCCGAATACGTTTAGGAATCGTGGGCCGAAACGTGTGTCGAAAGAGGATAATTTCTACTGATGACTGTAGATCCCCGCTGTACTTGCTCCCTGTGAGTTTATTCTTACATGTTTGCCTTCCACCTTCTCGTGTGATTGTTTTTAGAGTTATTTGTATCTCTATGTATATAAAAACACTGTAAATGGACCTGTCTGAAGGTCTAAATTCCGTATTAAGGATGATGTTTACAGTTTAATCGAGAGATATCGTGTCGACACACACTACAATGTATGTATCGTATAGTCCAGAGTGTGACCAATATTTTTTTTTTTTCAATTTAGTGTGGCAAATTATATATTTCTAGCAACGGTTAGCTGTTGTATTTCTCCATATATAAATTAACCGTTTGTTCTTCTGTAGGCGAGCTATTGCTTGCCTTTACTGTCATACATAGACATTATTAGTACGTCTACAAAAGAAGCACACTAAGGAGCTCGACACTAGCACTAAATTAATGTATCTGTTAGAACATTTAGTGCTGTTATTGTACTCACATGACTATATTCAGTTTAGTTTTACATAAAGTGAAAACACTGGATTCAACTGGCGCCTTTAGGGGTATGTCTTACTAGTAGAGAAAGACAAAAAATCCCACACAGTTGAGTAGATGCTTGTTAAACATCCCATTTTATAAGCTGCAAATTTTATTTTGGGTGATGCAAGACGTGAAAAAATATTCCGCATATTCATTTATTAACTCTAGATGTAAGTTAAAAAAAGTAAAAATCCCATTTCACGCCTTAGGCGCATCGGCTATATGGGAAGAGCGTCCCATATTTTTACAGACCAATCGGCACTGGATGGGTAATGTGGTCAGCAAATACGCCGGCCGTCTTTACTTTCCCAGGAAAGCCATCCTGGTACCCATTTTAGGCTGGGTCGACCTGCGACGCCCCATACCAAGATAAAAGCTGTGGGTTTCGATCGCGGTACGTTGGATTACGAGTCGGACTCGCAACGCCTAAGCCACAGACGCCGCTAACTCTAGATGTATTGTACTAAAATGCCTTTTCTAACATACAGGAAACCTTTGATCTCACTCAATGTTTTCAATTAATAGGATATTGTCGTTTTGTGGACAAGGATAATGTACTGTCAAAAAAAAAAAAAAAAAATGAAACGCATAGTTATCCGACAGCGAGTTTTTATTTGTTAGTAAGTAAAATATCGTACTCGGGTATGTGAAAAGCAGTCTCAAATGGTATTTACCGTGTCTAGTCAATATGTGGGCGTAATTTGCCGATACGTCAATGAAATTCTTGGACCACATGTCCTGCGATTGTGGGATACCAACATTTATCTTTTTCAACAGGACAATGCCAGATCCCATTCTGCAGGTTTGACCACGCAGTTCCTGGCTGCCAATAACATGCAAACCCTTTCCTGTCTATTCCTGTCTGCAGAAACGAGTACGATTGAACACATAAGGGATGAGCTGCAAAGACGTGTTTGTCACTGAGACTTTGCTTCAGACAATAGTCGTGATCTGTTCTATGCACTCCAAGAAGAGTGGGCATCCATCCCACAGTCCCATATCAGACATGTGATCTCATCCATGCAAAAGAGATGCCACTGATCCATACAAAAGGAGACCACACACCATACTAACGGAAAAAACCGTGTGCCTAAAATTATAGTGCCCCAAAGAAAAAAAAAAAGGTCAATTGATTAGGAATTCTTGTGTGAAATTTGAATAATTTCCCTTTCTGTGTTACAAAGATGCAAAATGTCAAAATTTTGATTACAGTAGAACCTCGCTTAACGAGCACCTCTCATAACGAGTAATTCGCATAACGAGCAAAACAATTTGTAAAAAAAATGACTCGCTTAACGAGCGACGTTTCGCATAACGAGTGGCGAGGAGAGGAGAAGTCCCGAATTGTGAGCACGTTACATCAGTCTGTGTTTAGCACTCCTTCCAGTTGCATCGTAGTGTTGCTTGTGATCACACATTTTCTCAAACTTGTGTTATTTTGTGATATATGTACAGGAATCCTCCAGGCCTACAAGCTGACCTTCCTGAAGAATTTAAGTTCAGCAAGATACGGTTTCTGCCTCCCAACACCACTCCGTTTCTCCAGCCTATGGACCAGCAAGTTATTTCTAACTTTAAAAAGCTCTACACTAAAGCAATCTTTGAGCATTGTTTTCAGGTAACTGAAGGGACCAACCTCTCGAAGAGTTTTGGAAACAAAATCACTGCCATATCGTTGCCTGCCTCAAGATGATCGACAAGGTGGGGAAAGGGGTTACCTAAAAGACCCTAATTTCTGCTTGAAAGAAGCTTTAGCCGTAGAGCGTTGTTGATTTGTGACTGAGGGGTTCGAGACAGTACCTGTGAAACCTGTAGTCAACGAGATTATGTCTTTGGCCACAGTCATGGAATTGTAGGTGGATAGCAGTGATATCGAAGAGCCTGTGGAAGAGCACAGCCAAGAGTTGACTATCCAAGAGCTCATCGAGTTGCACTGTCTTTCATAGCAAAAAGTTTTGGAGGAGAAGGTAACAGAAAAGCAGCAATCTTCTGACGAAATAAGAGAAGTGCTGAAAGCATGGCAAACTCTTGCATCTTACATTATGAAGAATCATCCTAATAAAGAAGTGGCTATGCGCGTTGCAAATTTATTTAATGATAATGCTGTGTCGCATTTTCGCCTAATTTTTAAGCATCGGCAAAAACAAATGTCTCTGTACATCTTTCTAGTAAAAGAAAAAAAAAATTAGCTATGTGTCATAATTATTTTAACTTTTTTTCTGCAAATCGAATTCGCATTCCAGGTGGGTTCGTTTCGCGTTTGAAGAAAATTTGAAGATGATTCACTCTCCTTAACAATATGTATATAATTTTCTTTGAATAAACGTTATACATAGCACTTTGTAAGTATTTTTTTTCGACATGGAACGCATTATCGTATTTTACGTTAATTTATATGAGAAAAATTGTTTCGCATAACGAGTGTTTCGCTTAACAAGAATAATTCTGTCACGAATTATGCTCGTTTAGCGAGGTTCCACTGTATGTTCCTTTCGGTAGCAATGCGTTTTTTTTTTAAAGAATATAAAAGAAGACTTTTCCGCAAACATTGACAAGCAAAACCCTGATAGTGTTTTTCAATCACTGACACTCCCCCCTCTCCCCCCTACCCCCTTCTTCCCCGCTCAAGGAAAAAAATTAATATAACCAAAATATCAATGAGGATTATAGCGACAATTGTAAAGAGAAGAAATAGGGTCCATAATTTAACAACCAGAAACTGGGAAAGATCAGTAGGATTTTATTGAGGATAAAGGCACAAACTACATCACATGTATCACGGAAACACATACAGAATGATTGAAATAACAGGAGATCTGTATATTTGATTTGCTAAACACAGTAAAGCATTTAATAAAGTGAAACATAAAATTATTAGAAAGTTGGAAACTTTACACATTGATGTTACCGATAAATGAGAATGTTAAACAACATATACTGGTAACAAGAACGGGCCATAGGAATTGAAACCAAGTAGGAACATTTGAAAACATTGAACAGGCACTTAAGAGGGATGTGTACTATCACCCGATGTTTCAGTCTGTACAGTTGAAAAAAAAAAATAATAATAATTCGAGCCATATATGGTTTACTACGAAACAACACGGAGAAATTCTGATATAAAAATGCTGAAAATTTAATTGACAGTAAAATTGCTCAGTACAGGTTTCTTAAAATAATGTAGCATACATAGAGACCCAGGATACTTGCGCTATCTAAAGACAATCTAGCTTTTTTTTTTTTTGGGGGGGGGGGGGGGGGGGGGGGTCACACAATGAAACGCTTGCTGTTTATCGTTTAATTGGCAAGCTTGAGGTCGAGAGAAGCAGGGGCAGACCACTGTTGATCATCTGGTAATATGCCACGAAAAAATTATTCAGTAAAGAAGTTATAAGTAGTACAACAATGATAAGTAGTACTAGAATGATAAGCAGTAGAACAATGATAAGTAGTACAACAATGATAAGTAGTACAACGATGATAAGTAGTACAACGATGATAAGTAGTACAACAATGATAAGTAGGACAACAATGATAAGTAGGACATATGGCAGAAGATGGTAGACAGAAGTGATGGCCCTGGCTATATGACTTTGACAAATTTAAAAAAAACGAAGAAGGAGACAGTGAAGAAAAAGAAGAAAAAGAAAAAGAAGAAGACGAAGAAAAATAAGACAAAGAAGAACAAGAATAAGATGAAGAAGAAGAACAGCAACAAAAAGGGGCAGGAAGAGAAGAGGCCGAACAATGTAGATAATGATGCGATAATGAAATCAACAACAAAATAATAATGAAGTTGTTGTAGTTTATGTCATTGTTGATGATTACGATAATGATAATGTCATTGTATGCAAGTATTTACAGTTTCAAAAATCAACAATATTCAGCAATTTGTGTTTTATTTTGTTTCTACCTAGGCACTTCCAACATATGTCGCCCTTGACGTGCAGCTGATTTCAGGTATTTAACGCAAATAACCTAAGCATATTATCCCTATTAAATGTGTGTTTTTTTTCTTTAAGTCGTGCCGTCCCCGACTGCTGAAACCGTTGGCTGATGTGTCATCACCCTTACAATGTTATCGAAACATTTCACATAGTCATATTTCACTCTTTTACAACTGGCACTAGTAAAGCCATAAATGTACGAATAGCTTATAAAGTAGAATAGAAGTAGAAATAGTATATTTACATTATATGAATGGTTATATACCAAATTAGAAGATTCAAAATTGCTTTTATATGACAGTAATATTTGTAGGAGACATGTTTAATTCTAAAATTTAGAAGAATAATGACAATCAAGTGCAGTTAGAATTCATTAGCAACAAGATAACAACACTATGGCATGATAGATTACAATAACGAAATATTTAATTACTTAATCGACTGATCATCCTTATTGCACAACAAACCGTTCGGTACATAAGTTCTATGGATCCTCTCCTCAGTAAAACCTTCCGATGGCACCAGTTATTTGTTACTTTTTTATTCTTCTGTTACTTCCTTTATAGTGGTCTTAACAATACAGAGAAGATTAGCATGGCCCCTGCGCAAGGATGACACGCAAATTGGTGAAGCGTTCCATATTTTTTGCGGCGTCCGTGGCTTAGGCGTTGCGAGTCCGACTCGTAATTCCAAGGTACCGCGATCGAAACCCACTGCTGGCTGCGTGGATTTTTATCATGGTCTGGGGCATCGCAGGTCGATCCAGCCTTAAATGGGTACCAGGATAGTAGTTATAGTAATTACTGTCTCAGGCCACTCCATTTTATAAAAAAAAATTTTTTTTTTTTAAACCTCACTTTCGTTCAGTTTTTGAAAAAAAAATTCTTTTTTATAAAATGGACTTGCCTGAGACAATAATTACTATAACTACTAATAACTACTAAATTATTTTTTTATTCAAAACCTCACTTTCGTTCGATTTTTGAAGAAAACATAAAATTGTTTTATAAAAATACTTGCCTGAGTTGTAATTTTTATAACTACTAATGATGATTTTTTTATAAAAAAATAATATATAATAAAAATATAATATAATAATAATATAATAATACGAAATAATAATCATTAGGAACTCCACCAAACACAAGTGACAATAATACTGACAGTCAAAGTGATAATAATACTGACAGTCGAAGTGATAATAATACTGACATTCGAAGTGATAATAATACTGATTTTCTGCAATCTTACTTCTTCAATCCAACACACTATACCTGCGGTGTGTCCAATCGCACTATTGCGTCTAAGCACATGTGTATAGACTTGCTGTCACAACGATCGACGGTCTTTTATAACACATGTGCCCAACCTCACTACTGCGTCTAAGCACATGTGTTATTAACAGCGGTCTACTTCTGCAACAACCGGTGTATTCAAACTCCGTCACGCTTTAACGCACCCACTAAAATAATTTCTTTTGTGTTGAGAGAAAACCGGAGTCAGTGTCAATCCCATAAAACGTCTTTACAAAAGAAACTGGTTTAGGAGGAATTATTTTTTTATCACGCTACAAAATAGAAAGAAATGTCTTCAGCGGTTCTAAAACTTTTATTTTAAAACAGACCCCAATTTTAAAATTGTTATAAAAACGTTATTTATCGCCAGAAATGATTCAAAAATATCTTAAATTATTTAATAAATCAGTTGTTCTCAAATTATTAAAAAAAATCAATGATTCTCAAATTATTTTTAAACAATTTAGTGATTCTCAAACTTTCATTTTTTCAACGGTTCTCAAACCTGAGATTATTTTCTCTCTATAAAATGAGTATTGAAGAATACTCATTGAATGAAAACACATCTAACAGAAATAATAATGATCTACTACCTAGGAGTATAAGGTGATTAATTGTTGGTAAATCAGGTTGTGGACAAACTAATTTACTTTTAAATCTACTTCTAAAGGATTTCTTAGATTATGATAACCTTCAAGTGTTTGAAAAATCTCTTTTTCAACCAGAATATAAAATAATTTAAACAGGATTTAAACAAAGATTACCAAAAGAAATTTTAAATCAATTTTTTAAAAATAAAGATTATATAATCGGTAAAGGTTTAACAATGCAGCAAGTATTACAAGAAGCAGGTAAAAAAATATTCCTCCCAAACACCAATTAAATGTAAATTTTTTGAAAATGCCAATGAAGTACCAGATCCGAAAGATCTCAAATCCTCAGATAAAAACCTCATGATTTTTGATGATATTTTATTAGAAAAACAAAATAAATGTGAAGATTATTATGTTAGAGGAAGACATAGTAATGTTGATTGTTTTTATTTGGCTCAAAATTATTTCAAATTACCAAGACAAGAAATTAGAGAAAATGCTAATTTCATTTGTTTATTCAAACAAGATGCAAAAAATCTTAATCATATATACAATGATCATGTGAGTACTGATATGTCAATAGATGAGTTTAAAAAATTTTCTAAACAGTGTTGGGAAAAACCACATGGTTTTATTGTTATAGATAATTCTAGCGATAAATACAATGGAAAATATAGATATAAATTAGATACCTTTTATTTTCCAGAGGATATTACAGTCTATTAGTTTTATTTTGTATTCATTAAAAATGGAAGAATTATTAAAAGAAATTGCAAAAAACACCAGATCCAAAGTCTCACATCAATTTGTTGTCTCCAGTAATAAGACAGCATTTAATACTGCATTTAATCCACCATTAGAACTTGATAATGATAAACATTATGAGACTGCTTTAGTTAATTTAGAAACGTACTATTCTTTCCTTAATATTAGTAAAGATAACAGTTGATTCAGTTAGTAAAATTACAAAATCAAGTATAACAATTGAAGCAAATAAAGAAACTCTAAAATCTGTCATGACTATAAACGCAGGATATAAAGTAAGTTTTATAGAGAAGAATACATTTGCTAATTTATTAGGATTTCAAAATAAAATATATGAATCTCGTACTCACGAATCAGAAAATATTGTAAATATTATGCATATAAATAGCATTTGAATTCATCTAAATATTATAAATGGAAGTTTTTGTTAATGGATCAAGAAATCCAGTTATTTATTCTTTTTTTCCTAATGTATCTCCAGGTAGAAAAATTGTTGAGAAACCACATAACCTAGTTTTTTTTACCCATTAATATGAAAAATATAACAGACTTGAAAATAACAATTACTGATCAAGATAACCAAGTTTTAAATTTAAGAGGTGAAAACGTTACTATAAGGTTTCATATAAGAGAAATATAAAACATAAAAAAATTCTTTAAAAATGACTACATATGAACAAGTAAAATTTAATATCTCTGATTACCAAAAAGAGAAAATACAACATGCTTTAAAAAATAATATTCCTGTTACTATTAGAATTACAGAAATAGGTAATGATGTTTTAACCTTAACAAAAAGACAGAAAAATAAATTAGAAAAAGCACTCTCTCAAAATGAAGGAGCTGATATTACTTTAAGTAAAAAACAAATAAAATATAATATGAAAATACAAGGAGGTTTTCTTCCTGAACTGGCTGCTTTGGTATTACCTTTATTAAAAACAGCTGTTCCTGCTATTGCAAAATCAGTAGGTATTGGTGCACTTACTGGTTTTGCTTCTACAGGTGTTCAAAAATTAATTGGTAACAGACTCCGTCCTACCATAGGGGATGGATTATATTTAAGCAGAGGAGGATGTGTTTGTAAAATTGAATCAGATGGAAAAAGGTCTTTATTTAAATCCGATAAATGGTGGTGGATTAGAATCTTATGGTGACGGATTATATTCATCAAAAGAAGGAAATATTTATGATGGTAGTGGATTTCTAAGTGATTTAGTTTAAAATTTTTCTGTTTTAAATATGTTATTTTAGACTCTATAAAAATGGAAACAACAGAAAGAATATATCCTCGATTACCCACTGCACCACCAATTCAACCAATAAAAGCTAACAATTATAGAATTTAAAAAATATTAGATATACAAAATAGTTTTGAAAAAAATAAAGAAGATAGGAGAAAAACAAAAAAAAATATACAAAAGTATTATCAGCATTTAATACCACTGACACAATTTTAACCACTGCTTCAATAGGTCTTGGGGTTACAGGAGTCGGATTATTAACCACGATTATCGCTGCTTCAATAGTTTTAGGATTTGAAATTGCTGCATTAGGAATGGGATCAGGAAGTATTATAATAAAATTTATAAATAAAAAATTACAACACAAAGTTGATAAACATAGACAGATTTTAATATTATCAGAATCAAAAATTAATACAATTTATAATCATATTTCCAAAGCACTTGAAGATGGTAAAATATCTGAAGAAGAATTTAAATTAATTTTAGAAGAAGAAATTAAATTTAGAGATATGAAAGAAGCAATAAAACATCATGATCGTATAACCACAGCAAAAAATCTTGAGAATCATACAAATGAAAAACAGGATTTAATAAATAAATTAAAAGTGTTTTTCGAAGAATCAAAAAATAGAAATATGTATACAATTAAAACTTAAAATTAATTATTAAAAATGTTCGTAAATATTACAGATCTTATAAAAAGAGAACAAAAAGTTAATGAGCATTTATAAACACAAAGAAATATTCAATTTAATAACATGAGTGAAAGACTTGGTGATATTGAAATGAAAAGAGAGTTTACAAAAGTGTTTTCTCCTATAATAGAAAGTCAACAAAAAGCAGTTGAAGTTGCAGAGAAATGTATAACTACAATAAAAAATCTTGAGAATCATGCAAATGAAAAACAGGATTTAATAAATAAATTAAAAGTTTTTTTAGAAGAATAAAAAAAAAATAGAATTGAGTATACAATTAAAAATTATATTTAACTATTAAAGAATTAATGAACAAAAATCCTTTCAAAATATTATCAATAAAATATTAGAAATTGCTTGTGAACATAATAATATTAAAATAGTTTAATTATTATTAGATCAAAAAGATATTGATATTATTAATAATAATAATAATATAAGATGGAGATTGTTGAATATATTAGGTATTGCTTGTGAACATAATAATATTGAAATAGTTAAACTATTATTAGATCTTAAATTATTGATATTAGTAGACAAAATGTTTTAAGTCTATTATATAGTGTTTGTAGAAGTAATAATATTGAAATAGATAGTAATTGTAGACGTAATAATAAGGAAGTAGCTAAACTATTATTTCATTATGAGTATAAATCAAAAATTTGAAAATTAAAATTGATATTTAAAAAAAAACAGTTTTTTTTTAACGTAGTGAAATGTCTTTCTTAAATATCACAGATCCGAAAAAAGAGAACAAAGGGTTAATGAATTTATTCAATTAAAAAGAAATATTCAATTAAGTAATATGAGTAAAAGAATTGGGGATATTGAAATGAAAAGAGATATGAGTAAAATATTTTCACCGATAATAGAAAGTCAACAAAAATCTGCTGAAATTACTCAGAAAGCAATTAGTGAAATACCTAAACAATTAGCTTTAGAATTACCAAATAAAAGACTAATTGCTACAGAACAACCTCCGCAGAATTTCTCTAGTTATGGAAAAGTAGCTGTAGAATATTTACAAAAAATATGTGAAGATAAAGAAAATGCAGATACAAAATATGGTATTCGTTCTACGGATAATAAACTTTATATTGGAAATAAAGAAGTAAAAATTGATGGTAATGATATTATTTTAAATGAAAATAGATATACAGGAACTCCAGGTTTATTGGAATAACTAACTCGTAATAATCCACAAAATTATTCAGAAGATGATAAAAGAAGTATGCAAATATATTATATGCTACTAATGCCCTGTATGTAGATTATGATCCTAATAAAAAACCATCTTCTAGTACTGGAACAAAATGGAAAAATATAATAAGTGATTTATGGAAAACTAGACCATTATCTATTAAGGAAATCCCTTCTTTTTCTGCAGATCCAAATGAATTGGTAAAAAAAATTTAGCCTCTTATTATCAAGTAAAGAGGCTGGAAATACTGGAGTAAATGATGAAATGAAGGAAATAGCTAATAAACTTTATAATCAAAAGATAATAACTGTAACTGATTACCAAAAAATGATGGAGCAAGCTGGTTAGAAATTAAATTAAATATTTAAAAATGCCTTTAATAATAAGAAAAAATAAATAAAAATATTTTAGAGGTGAAGGATTTTTTGACAGTTTATTATCTACTATTACTTCACAAGTTGTAAAAGATGCAGCAAAAGAAGTAGTTGTAAATGTTGGTAAAAAAGCTGCAACAGAATTAGGTAATAAAGCTAGTGAAAAAGTTATCAATAAAATCTTTCCATCCCAACAGCCTGAAACAACAACTAAATTAACTCCTGAATCAAAAATGTTATTAAATAATATATTAGCAAGAGGAAGTGGGATAAAAAGAATTTAATTAAAAAAATTGTTACAATACAAATATATAATGAAATAGAAAATAAATCTTATAATTTCAAAATACGAAACTAAATTATTTGAATAATATAATTTTTTTTTAAATATTTATCTTATTTATCTTAATTCTTTTATTTTATTATTTAATTTTTTAGCACTTTTAATAACTAAAAAATAATTAATTTTGACCACCGTGGTGATCAAGAATATTTTTTATTTCAGATAAATTTATTATAATCTCTCTATATGATAAATTGCAATTTAATAAAATAGAATACTGATTACAACTATTATAAAATCTTATATAGTCATTAATAACTGATTTACTTCTATTAAATGTTTCTTTAGCAAAAACCAAAAACTCTTTCTCACTACTATATTTAGATTTAAGAATACTTAATAAATATCCAAGATTAAAATAATAACCTTTATTTATTTTTTCAATATCATCTAAATGGTTTAATATTTTTAAACACGTATCAACAATTTCATCTTCTGAACTTTCATTATTAATTTTAAATTTAACTTCTTCCACATCCAATATTTCATATAATCTTTGTTCTAAATCTTTTGGAATCATTTTAATTCTATTTATTACATTGTTGGGTAAAACATCTTCCCACTCAATTTTTAACTTCAAACCATTTACTTTCTCAAAATGTCTAACAACTTTCCTAAATTTATGTATTTTTTCATCAGATATATAATATTTAATTTCATTTATAAAGTTAGAAATTACTTGTTCCATTTTTTAAATACTAAAAATAACGTAGTGGAGTCCCCCCCCCACCCCCCGCCATTTCCCCAATGCCACTTTAGCTTTAATAATATTACGAACAATTCCTTTATCTATTCTTTCTCTTAAAATAAGATTATAAATATTTAAATCTTGTAACATCTTTTTATCACATACTTCATTTTTAGTTTTCTTATCTTCATTTTGTAAATAACAAATATCATGATGCATAGCAGCTTCATCCACTCTATTAATTGGTTTACTCCATTCCTGAGGTGTAAAATCAGGAGGATTTCCATAAGGTTCTTTTAACCTTTTCTTTAAATTAGTTCCAGGTCCTGTAAAATTATGACCTGGTAAATGTAATTCAATTGGAAGCTTATTTATTATACTATTTAAGTTTCCTCCTTGTATAGATTTAATAAATTAATTTTTTTTTACAGTACCACATACTGCACATTTTTCTCTTAACATATTTCTATTATTTTTACTTTTAGTTTGTATTAAATCTAAAGTATCTGTTTTGTTTTTACATTTTACACAATAAAGTATTGCAGACATTGTCTATTTAATAAACATAAAAATGTCAGTTATACAAGTAGGAAATCTATCTTTACCTAATGAACCTCTTTCAAACTTTCAA